AAAATTCCAGAAGAATCCAAAGGCAACAAAATCTCAGACATATGCCGAAGCAATTTCTTCAATGATACAGCTCCTAGGGCACTTGAAACTAAAGAGAAAATGAACAAATGGGACTACATCAAAATAAAAAGCTTCTGCACAGCAAAAGAAACCATCTAAAAAACAACAAGAAAGCCCACTGCATGGGAATCATATTTGCCAAAGTTATATCTGATAAGGGCCTAATCTCCAAAATTTATAGGGAACTCAAACAACTCAACAAAAAGAAGATAAACAATCCAATCAAAAAATGGGCAAAAGATCTAAATAGACACCTTTGAAAAGAGGACATTCAGAAAGCCAAGAGACCTATGAAAACATGCTCAAAGTCACTAATCATCCAAGAGATGCAAATCAAAACAACCATGAGGTACCATCTCACACCTGTCAGACTGGCTATCATCAACAAATCAACAAACGACAAGTGCTGGAGAGGATGTGGAGAAAAAGAAACACTCGTGCACTGCTGGTGGGAATGCAGACTGGTGCAGCCACTATGGAAGACAGTATGGAGTTTCCTCAAAAAACTGAAAATGGAACTCCTATTTGACCCAGTGATCCCACTTCTAGGAATATATCCCAAGAAAACAGAAACACCAATCAGAAAGGATATATGCACCCATACGTTCATAGCAGCACAATTCACCATAGCTAAGATCTGGAAACAGGCTAAGTGCCCATCAGTAGATGAATGGATTAGAAAACTGTGGTACACTATGGAATACTATGCTGCTGTAAAAAAGAAGGAACTCTTACCATTTGCAATGGCATGGATGGAACTAGAGAGCATTATGCTAAGTGAAATAAGCCAGTCAATGAAAGAAAAACACCACATGATCTCACTCATTCATGGGTAATAAAGACCATTATAAACTTATGAACAATAATAGATACAGAGGCAGAGCTGCCTCAAACTGATTGTCAAACTGCAGCAGGAAAGCCAGGGAGAGTTGGGGGGCAGGAGGGAGGGAGGTAACAGATCAACCGAAGGACTTGTATGCATGCATATAAGCATAACCAATGGACATAAGACACTGGGGGCTAGGGGATGCCAGGGGATTGTCAAGCGCGGGGAAAAAAGAAAGGACACATATGTAATACCCTTTGTAATACTTTAAGCAATAAAAAAAAAATTCAAAGGTCATTTTTACATAAAATTAAAAAAAAACTATCCTAAATTTCTTATAGAAATACAAGATTCTGAATAGCCAAAGCAGTCTTAAGAAAGAATAACAGATCTGGAGGCATCACACATCCTGCTTTCAAATTATATTATAAAATTATACTAATAAAAATATTATGGTATCATCATAAATAGAGACATGTAGATCAATGAAACAAAATAGAGACCCCAGAAATAAATGGTCAATTAATTTACAACAAATGAGTCAATAATTAACAATGGGAAGAGGATAATCTCTTCAATAAATTATGCTGTGAAAACTGGATACCCAGAGGCAAAAGAATGAAATTGGACTCTTATGTGACACCATACACAACAATGAACTGCAAATGAATTGAACACATGGCCGCAAATCATAAAAGACTTTGAAGAAAACAAAGGGGTAAGCTGCTTGTCATTGGTCTTGGCAGTGATTGCTTGGTTTTGACACCAAAAGCAAGGAAACAAAAGCAAAAATAAATAAGTGGGATTATGACAAATTAAAAAGCATTTGCACAGCAAAAGAAACTATCAACAAAATTAAAAGGCAATTTTTAGAATGAGTGAAAATATTTGTAATTCATATATCTGATAAGGGATTAGTATCCAATATGTACAGAAAACCCATATAACTCAATAGCAAACACAAAAACACAAGTAATTCAATTGGGCAGAGGAAGTGAATACACATTTTTCCACAGAACATATATAAATGGAAAACCAAAAAAGGTGCCCAGCATCTTTATCAGGGAAATGCAAATCAAAGCCTCAATGAGATATCACCTCACTCACACCTGTTAAAATGACTAATGTTTTATTCAAAAAACAAGATATAACAAGTGTTAGTGAGGATGTGATGAAATTGGAAACTTTGTACACTGTCCCTAGGAATGTAACTTAGTGCAGGTATATGAAAAACAGTATGAAGTGTCAACAAAAAATCAAAAATCAAACCACCATATGATCCATATGGAAATCTTTCCTGTCTATGGATGAATAGATGATGATGATGTGACACATATGTATACACAGTTGGGTAAAAGTAGGTTTATAGTTGTTAGTGTGCAAAATAAATATTTAATAAAAAATGCAATATTAAATTTTGTGTTTTGAGGACTCATAAATGTAAACATACTTTTGTCTGTGTGTGTGTGTGTTCTGCCATGAGAATAAGAAGACATCTTTCCATTTACAGGTGGAACTTGAGGGCACTTGCAAAGTAACATTAGTCTTAATGAGGAAAATAAACACTGTATGATATCCTCTGTGTGTGTGCTTTTAAAATCAAAACTCATAAAAATGGACAGTACAAAGGTGGTTACCAAGGGCTGGTGGATGGAGGAAATGGGGAGATGTTGGTCAAACAGTAAAAACTTCCAGTTAGAGATGAATATATTCTGGGGATCGAATGCACAGCATAGTGGTTATAGTTAACAACCCTGTATTATGTACTTCAAATTTGCTAAGAGAGTAGATCTTCAATGTTATCAACACAAAAAAGATATAGTAATTATGGTATCTAATGCAGGTGTTAGCAAACAGTATATAAGTGATTATTTTTAAAATATATAAATGCATCAAATCAACACATTGTATACTTCAAACTTATATAATGGCACCTATCAACTATCCTATCTAATAAAAGAGAAACATGGTAATTGGCGTACGACCGCTACCCTTCCCAATGGCTAATCAGCGAGATATGCAAATTAACTGGCAGCCAAGATGGCGGCCGGCAGCCAAGCAGCTTGAAACTAACATGAGGCTTGCTTGCTTCAGTGATGGAGGAAACCAACGTTCCCCACCTGCCTTGCCGGCCTCTGAGCCTGCAGTTTGAAACATGTTAACAAATATAGACCCTAAACAAAACCCCAGAAACCTGCTTTCAGCTAGCCGGGATCTCAGAGCTGGAGTTATACATTGTTTTGATTATAGAACCCAAACCAGATACCTGCTTTCAGGGGCGGAGGCCTAAGAGCTGGAGCCTCAGAGCTAAAGCTGGCCCAGAATAAAAAACAAAAGAAAAAAAGGAGCGGTTGGGAGCTTCCGTCACTTGCCAGCCTGAAAACAACCCTCAACCCCTCACCCAGACTGGCCAGGCACCCCAGTGGGGATCCCCACCCTGAAGGGTGTGTGACCAGCTGTAAACAGCTATCATCCCCTCACCCAGACTGGCCAAGCACCCCAGTGGGGACCCCCACCCTGATCCAGGACAAACTTCAGGGCAAACCAGCTGGCCCCCACCCGTGCACCAGGCCTCTATGCTATATAGTAAAAGGGTAATATGCCTCCCAGCACCGGGATCAGCGGAGCCGCGAGGCCTCCCGGCACCAGGATCGGCGTGACAGGGGCAGCGTCCAAACCCCCTGATCGGCCCTGCTCTGTGTGTGACAGGGTGCGGTGCCCCAACCCCGCCCCCCCCCACCTCCCACGGGCCATGCTCTCTGTGTGACGGGGTAGAACCATAACCTCCCCATTGGCCCTGCTCTGTGGGTGACAGTGGGTGGTGCCCCAACTCCCCTATCGGCCCTACTCTGTGAATGACAGGGGGGAGCTCCTCAACCCCCTGATGGGCCCTGCCCTGTGAGTGACAGGGGGGAGATCCCCAACCCCCAGATTGGCCCTGCTCTGTGTGTGATAGGGGGTGGTGCTGCAACCTCCCATGGACCCTGCCTTGAGTGTGACAGGGGGCGGTGCCCCAACCCCCCAATTGACCCTACCCTGAGCGTGACTGAGGGTGGCATCGCAACCTCCTGATCCGCCCTGCTCTGTTCATGACAGGGGGCAGAGCTCCAACTCCCCAATTGGCCCTGCTCTGAGCCCGACCAGGGGCTGCACCTAGGGATTGGGCCTGCCCTCTGCCACCGGGGAGCAGGCCTAAGCCAGCAGGTCGTTATCTCCCGAGGGGTCCCAGACTGAGAGAGGGCACAAGCCGGGCTGAGGGACCCCCCCTTCCCCCCCGAGTGCTCAAGTTTTTGTGCACCGGGCCTCTGGTATCTCAGTAAAGCTGATGGGGATAAACTAGGTGGAGTTCAGTGGGAGCTGGCTTCTTCAGTAGAGATAAGGAGCTGGCAAAAATGGGTGAAAAACAGACCGCAGGCAATTAGCTTCAGATTAAGTAAAACCCATCACTATATATGGGCAAAGTCAACTCCAGAGAGTGTGAGTGAGTTAGGCAAGGTCACATCCTTATTAATGACCTAACCAGGCCAGGTGCCCTCCTGGGGCAGCCTCCCTCCCTCCATTCAGTAACTGGCTAATTTCCTCACCTGTCTCATGACCTTCTGGTAGGAGAGACCTACAAGGATGGCCAGAGTAAGCCCTGAAGGAAAGTTTTCACACTCTCCCTGCTGTTCCATTGTTAATAGTTGGAAAAAAACCCTCTCTTTCCTTTGAGAAACATGAGATTTTTCTTGTGATTCCTGGCACAAGGACTACCTTCGTGACACTGTCCCAACTAAGAAGGGTTTCAAGAAGCCAGTTTATAGGTAAAGATCTAAAAGCAAAAGGAGTTAAGATTAGTGATCCAGGCTAAAAGGGAAAACAGGCTTCAGAAACCTAAAATGCTCTTCTCCCATGAGGTTATAGCCCCTGTAGGGGGCAAGCTGTTGGTGTCACAGGGGCCTTCTGAGGACATCACCACAGCCCCAAGCAGGGTTTCACAGTGGGAACTTACCATCCCAATGCTTCACTGGTGAATGTTCCTGTCTCTTTAAGTTGTCACCCCTGGGCCCCACCCCCTGGGGCTTTCTGCCCTTTGAGGTCTGAGAGGCAAGATACTTCCCTGTGTGCTGGGAGGAAGAGCCTGCTGCACTCACAAGCAGAGGACAGCAGTAGGTCAGGGGCTTCTGGAACCAGCGTCAGAGCCTGTCACTGATTCTGCAGGAAAGGTGAGCCCCAGCAGGGGAAGGGAGCGGGCCAGAGAGTAGGAGCTGTGAGGACCTGGAAGAATTCAGTGCCTGTAAGAAGCTCGCTGAGTGAGTATCTTGGTTCTAGTAAGTTCCAGGAAGGGGTGCGGGACCTAGAAAGAGTAACTCCACACTCCCAGGTGTGTAAGCATGTTTGCGTTTCACACACAGTAGATTTGGGAGCAGCAGCAAGTATCTCCTCCAGCCTGGATTGTGCACTGTGCACAGGGACTCAGTGAGCACAGAAAGTTCCATTGTGTTAAACAATGACTGATTGGCTGGAGCCACTTTACTTGAAGAAGCCACAGGTTGGGAGCAGGATGTCAGGAGTTGGGAATGTCCCAGTCTCTCCAGGACACTGAACATATTTAGGCACATTGAGAAGGACAGTGAATTGACTTCCCCAGAAGATTGTCAGAGGTTGCAGATCACCTGGGACATACGTTTCTTCTCCAATTTTCAAAACAAAAATTCCAGTTCTGTTCTTGTACATCTCCCAGGCCATCCACCATAACTGGATCCCTAGTTCACTGAGCACATTTTCTAGTTCTCATGGTTTTCCAAAGTCTCCCCTCTTTTCTAGATCTCCTGGAAAATTTTAGTACCTACAGATGTTATCACAGACATAGAATTACCAGGGGAAAATAATATCTATAGCTTTCTCACTGGCATGAGTGTTAAAATCTCCACTCTGCCCTTTTGATTTTATGTCCCTGAAAAAAAACAAAATCAAGCTAATGAAATGCTCTCACAATATTATTCCCACGCCTTCCCATTCTTCCAGTGTTTTCCCTTCCATTCTCATGCTCAGGGTAAGCAAGAAAGATGATTTTGTTTCTGTGGTGTCACCAGCTCTTTGGAGTTGAGCTGACACATCATAGGTAGTATTACATATTTGTAGAATGAATGAACAGTGTTTGGAACTCTTTCAGGTAAGCATGGGAGGACGGAAGATGGCAAGAGATGAAGAAAGCGTCTATGGTAAGGACATGTGCACTGAATACTTACCTCCAGGAATGAGCCTTGGATAATGATAAAAATGGGCGAACTCAGGACTGAGAAGATAACCCCAAACAGGTCTATGAGGTGTCTCAGGTGAAACAGCAAGAGCTCTGAGATGTGCATTTTAGTTGGGTCTCTGCCTCTGTCAAGCTGGGAGAATATGAACTTCCTTGACTAGCCTGGGCCTCCATTTCCCCAAGTGTAAAATGAGGATAATAAACCTACTCTGATCTGCACAGAAGAGGATGTAGAGGGTATTAGATCATGCACTAGAGGGAGCGTGATACACCATGTAGAATGTTAGAGAACATGGAGGGTTAAGCAGGTGTCTTATAAGCAGGCAGCAGGATTATGAGGAAGGGGAGGGGGGAGGTAGGAGGGACGGAGGGAGAGAAAGAAGAAGGAAAGAGGTGATCTCATTCAATCCTCTCAACAGCCCCAGGAGAAACAACTCTACTATTATTCCTATCTTTTGTACAAAGGTTTAACATTTGATTGGCATCTTCCAAGATGGCATAGCTGGCCCATGAAAGGGCAGTGAATTAAACCCAGGGTGTCTGGGACTCCAGACAGCCCTTCACCCCCAAGCCTACTGCCCGCTCCTGCCCACCTTCCATGGGCTGGAAGTATGGCAGAGGCCACTGAAGCCTCAAATAGGGCAGCTCACAGGTTGTGGGGGACCAGGGACAATGGGTGAGGCCATACCTGGAAATAGGAAGGGGCATCCTTTGGACCAAAGTTGGAGAACATCTTGACCTCAGGCTGTTTAAGGCCCGCTGAATCATTTTATCTGGCTCTGTCAAGGCAACAGCAGGCAGGACTCAAAATTAAATAAAACTAGGAGCTCTTTTCATAGCAACATAAATTTATATTAAGTGAATTATATTAACCGAATGATGTTATAAATATCCAAATACCCCTTGGCAGAGAAAACGTCCCCCACCCTTGCTCTAGAGTAAAGCCCACCAGGTGTTGAGCATCTACAGATGCATGTGGTGAAACCAGAGGTGAAACCAGGAAAAGGTGGTGAAGATCCCCTGGAATTCAGAAAACTCTGACCAATGACTTCAGTAAGGCTTTGGTTGGAAAAGCAGTTGAGGCCCTGTTTGTTGTTCTTGTTCAAAGGGCTCCCAGGTCCAGGCAACCAGGATACGTTGCTTTAAGGGTTGGAAGCTCACAGATTACTTGTCCTCCAGGTTCCGAAGACACCACACAGGCCCTGAAGGAACCCGGGCTGAGGCTCATCCTGGTGGGGAAGACAGGGGCTGGGAAGAGCACCACCGGGAACAGCATCCTGGGCCACAGGCGCTTCGTCTCCAGACTCGCAGCCACTTCGGTGACCAGAACCTGCGAGGTGGGGAGCCGCAGGTGGGACAGGTGGCACGTGGAAGTCATGGACACCCCAGGCTTTTTTAGCTCCCTAGTCCCCAAGACAGACCCAGGGTGCCAGGAGCGAGCCAACTGCTACCTGCTGTCGGCGCCTGGGCCTCATGCGCTGCTCCTGGTGACTCAGTTGGGCCGCTTCACTGCGCAGGACCAGCAGGCAGTGACCGCGCTCAAGTTCCTGTTCGGGGACAACGTGATGGCTCGCACCATCCTGCTGTTCACGCGCAAGGAGGACCTGGGTGGGGACTCTCTGAAGGAGTTCGTGCGCCACACTGACAACCATGCGCTGAGGGCTCTGGTGTCAGAGTGTGGGGGCCGAGTGTGCGCCTTTGACAACAGGGCAGTGCGCAGGGAGCAGGAAGCCCAGGTGCAGGAGCTGATGCTGCTGGTGGAGCACCTGGTGCGGGACCACAAGGGTGCCCACTACTCCAACGACGTGTACCACCTGGTGCAGGAGCTGGCTTCGTCCAGCCACGAGGAGAAGCTGAGACGGGTGGCAGAGAGGCTGGCAGGCTGCGTGTGGGGCCGCCGAAGGCGCGGGCTGCTGGGCCGACTGTATGACTGGGTAACGGCTAAGAAGCTGCTCACAGCCGCTGTGCTGGGCGTCCTGTTACTGCTTTGGGTACTGCTCCCCAGGGACAGGTACCAGGTTGTGGACGAGGTTCTTCCTGAGGCATGGAATGTATCGGACTTGGACCCATCACCGGACAATCACATTCTTTTCTGATGTCTGTGCCTCCAGGGCCCACAGACTTTCCTTGTGTCCCTCACCTGGCAGTAACCTACCAACCCAAAGACAAAAATCCTGCCCCCTCTCATCTCCCCCAGAAACCTGCCTATGGGACCTGGCCCTATCTGAGCTCTTCTCTTACTTACTGAAGCCCAACAACTGTTGTTGCTCTTGCCTGTTTTCCACTGACCTCAGGCTGCCTCGGGGTCCTGGAATCATCCCTGGTCTCCCCAGGGGTCCAAGAGCCAGAGACAACACAAAGCCTCAGTCCAGACCCATTTATTTCAATTGAATCTGAATTGCATGAATAAATGCCTTGAACATTCACATTATGTTAATAGAAATCAATATTTGTAGATGTTTGTTCATCTGCCATATTTGTCCATTGAACAAGACACTGCTGTCATTCCTAACCACTCTGCAAAAACCACACACCCAAGTGCAAACACACACACACACACACTCACACTCACACTCACACATACACATTTTGAGGTATGTGCTCATAAGAATACAAAGCACTTAAGAACTGCCCATCTGTTCCAGAAAGGGACATCTTCCCTGTATCTCCATTCAGACTCGTCAGCAACTTCAATGCAGAGGCTTCTACAAGTCCAAGGAAAATTTACCTAGACATAACTAAAGACTCGAGTTCCTAGGAGCCCATTGAGGCCTGCAGAAAAGGAGTTTTCTCACTGGCTGACACATTGATAGGGTGAGCAAAGGCTTTTCAAGTCACAGTAAAATAAAAAGAAATTTAGAGATGTGGATATTTTTATTTCAATCTCAAAATAAAGGGCAAGCAGGTCTTCAGGGGCTGAGAACTGGTGATACAAGGTGAGATAAAAACTCATCCCTTCTATTCCATTCAGATCTGGAGGAGACAGCTCTCTAGTACAGTTAAATGAGCCAGGTTAGCATGGTTCACCTGTCCACGCACACTTGCTCTGCCCCCAGTTCTGCCCCCAGTGTCTCTACGTTCACAACCAAACTCAAACTCACCTCCAAAATTGCTGGGTAATTCCAGATCTCTTCCATACAGTATCCTCTGTCTTGTGTCTTTACAGACAAAGTCTCCCAAGTCCCTGGTGCCTTCATATCACTAAAGAGACACATAAAAGGAGGAAATAATCTGCAACAGCTGAGTGCATATTGGAGCATAAGGCCCACACCCCTGCCTGGAAACCATTGGGAACACAAAGGGGAAAGCCAGTGCCAAATGCTGAGACTGGACATTTCCTCTGCTGCCAAGGTCATTGTGGTTTAAGAGTTGTGCACTTATCCCAGCAGAGGCACTGATAGGTAATCTGGGTTTTGGTCTTGTCCACTTTCCAATATCCTTTTTCAAGGAACAAACAGGAAAACTCTACCATTATCACTTGCTAAGAAAGGCAGTGGTGGTTAGCGAAAATAAAGGGGGAGAAATAAGAATGGCAATGTTCAGTGTATGCAAAGAAACATTTGAATATTGCTCTTTGGTTGGGGAAGAATAAAGCCTAGAGAGTCCCCAAGGGACAGTGATTGAGCTGTGGAATGTATGAAGAAGAATGGGCATTAGGGGGCAGGCACACCCTGATAAGGCTACAATCAGTACACTTTAGGGAAGAGAGTGTGTTTTCTGTCTATACAATAGTTACAAGACAGATATTGTCAGAGTAGATTAAAACACATGACCCAGGCTTTGTAGGGGCACCGAACTGGCCGAGGGACTGTCTCACAGCCTGACTTCACTGAGCCTACTGCTGTCACAAAGCAGAGTCCCACTTATCAGCTAAGAAGTGGGGTGCAGGGGAGCACTGTGCTTGACAAGGCAGTACTGCAAGCAGTGGAGCAGCAGACATGCAGCTCTGTGGTGAGGAGGGGGTTCAAGAAACAGACAAAAGAGAAAAAATGGGGGCCAAAGAGGCAGACATATTCTGCTTCTTGTCCCAGAGAAGATAGAAGGAACAACTAAGTGGAATAACATCCACTCAGAATTGGCAAATTAGACACAGCTGGTGAGACAATTCACAGCCAGGAAGGGCAGAGGATGCCTGGAGAATGGGTAGAGAATGAGACACATAACCACACACCCTGAGAGAAGATTCCATCCATGAATGGAACAATAACACTCAAGTTGTTTGTACTACACCAAGAGAACCCAAATATCCAAAGTAGGGGGCATCCTCAGCATACCCAGCCTAGAAGACCTGAGAGATTGCACCACTGGGTCCCACAGAACATCTACTCTATAAGACAAACTCAAAAAATCTTGGTGACATAGAAGTGTGATCTAGAAACTATCACAAAGGAACAGCAAAAATAGGGAGACAAAGAAACAACCCCCATAAAAAAGAAATGGAGGAATCACCAAAAAAGGAAATAAATAGAATGGAGGCAAGCAATTTGTCAGAGAACAAATTCAGAGCAATGGATACAAGGACACTGAAAAGGATGGAAGATAAATTCAACAACATGTGTAAGAATCAAGAGGAAACTAAGAATAGTCAAGAGGAAATGAAGAATGTAGTAAAGAACACAACGGAAATTTTCAACAGTAAACTAGAAGAAGCCAAGGACTGCATCAGCGAGTTAGAAGAAAAGGTAGAAAAAAACACCCAAGCAGAGAGGCAACTGGAAAAAAAAAACCTTAAAAAGCCAGAGAAGAGGGTAATGGAGCTTTGTGACAACACAAAATGAAATAACATCTGCATAATAGGGGTGCCAAAAGGACAAGAAGAGGAGCAAGGATTAGAAAGCCTATTTGAAGAAATAATGACAGAAAACTTCCCTGACTTGGGGAAGAAAAAAGTAACACAATTCCAAGAAGCACATAGAGACCCAAACAAAATGAACACAAGAAGACACATCATAATTAAATTGGCAAACATCAATGATAAAGTAAGAATCTTAAAGGCTGCCAGAGAGAGACAGAAAGTTACCTATAAGGGATCTCCCGTTAGACTATTAACCGATTTCTCAACAGAAACACATCATGCCAGAAGGGAATGGGATGAAATATACAAAGTGATGCAAAGCAAAGGACTGCATCCAAGAATAGTATACTAGCAAAGCTATAATTCAAAATTAAAGGTGAAATCAGGAGCTGCAGAGACAGAAAAAAAAAAAAAAAGAAAGGCTACGGGAGTTTATTACTAACAAGCCAGCAATGCAAGAAATGCTAAAGGGACTGCTGTAAACAGGAGAAATAGAAAGGGAAGAAGGAAAATGGCAATAAACAAATACCTATCAATAATAATCTTAAAAATAAATGGACCAAATGCTCAAATCAAAAGACAAAGGGTATGCTGAAACCAGTTTGGCTCAGTGGATAGAGCATCAGCCTGTGGACTGAAAGGTCCCAGGTTCAATTCCGGTCAAGGGCATGTACCTTGGTTGTGGGCACATCCCCAGTGGGGAGTGTGCAGGAGGCAGCTGATCGATGTTTCTAACTTTCTATCTCTCTCTCTTCTTCTCTGTAAAAAAATCAATAAAATATATTTAAAAAAAAAAAAAGACAATGGGTAGCTGAATTGATCAGAAAACGTGACCCATATATTTTCTGTCCACAAGAGACCCAACTCAGAACAAAGGACTCATATAGACTGACAGTGAAGGGATGGGGGAAATTTTTTCAGGTAAATGGAAATGAAAAAAACAAGCGGTGATAGCAATACTTATATCTTACAAAATAGACCTCAAAGTGAAGGCCAAAGCAAGAGATAAGGAGGACCACTTCATAATATTAAAGGGAATAATTCAACAAGAGGATATAACTCTGGTAAACATATATCCACCCAATACAGGAACACCCAAATACATAAAAAAAACTCCTGGAAGATATCAAGGCAGAGTTCTAGAGCAATACAATCATAGTAGGGGACTTTAATACCCCTTTGAGACTATTGGATAAATCCTCTAAACAAAAAATCAGCAGATAAATAGCAATCCTAAGTGACATACTAGATCAGATGGAATAAACTGACATCTTCAGAGTATTTCTCACAATGCTACAAAATACACATTCTTCTCCAGTGCACATGGGACGTTTTAAAAGATAGACCACATATTTGAACATGGGCAAAGTCTCTTCAAATTGAAGAAGATATAAATCTTATCAAGCATCTTCTCAGATCACAATGGGATAAAATTAGAAATTAACTACAATAAAAACAATGAAAAAAATCAAGCACTTGGAGGCTAAATAGCATGCTATTAAACAATGATTTGGTAACCAAAGAAATCAAAGAAGAAATTAAAAGTGTCCTGGAAACAAATGACAATGAAAAAACAAAAATCAAAAATCTATGGGGACACAGTGAAAGTAGTCCTGAGAGGGAAGTTCATAGTTCTACAGGCCTACCTCAAAAAAACAAGATAAAAATGGTAATAAATTATCCAACTCTACAACTTAAAGAGTAGAAAGAGAGCAATAAGAAAAGCCCATAATATGCAGAAGGAAGAACATAATAAAGATGAGGGTGCAAATAAAGGACATAGACACACAAAAAAAATACAAAAGATCAATAAAACCAAGAGCTGGTTCTTTGAGGATAAACAAGATTAATGAGCCTCCTACCAGGTCCACAATGAAACAATGAGAGAGAACCCAAATAAATAAAATCAGAAATGAAATATGTGAAGTAATAACTGACCCCACAGACATACAAAGTTTTGTAAAAAAAAATACCGTGAACAACACTTCCAACAAACTGAACAACTTAGAAGAAATGGACATATTCCTAGAAAAATACAACCTTCCAAAACTCAATCAGAAAGAATAAAAAAACATGAATAGGCTGATAACTATTGATTAAATTGAAGCAGTAATCTAAAAACTTCCATCAAACAAAAGCCCTGATCTGGATGGCTTCACAGAGGAGTTTTACCAAACATCCAAAGAAGAACTAAAAGCTATCCTTCTCAGAGTATTCCAAAAAATTCAAGAGGAAGGTACACAACCAAGCTATTTCTATGAAGCCAGCATTACTTTAATACCAAAACTAGATAAGAATACTTCAAAGAAAGAGAATTACAGGCCAATATCCCTGATGAACATAGATGCTAAAATCCTCAACAAAATTCTAGCAAATTCAGCATTACATTAAAGACGATACAACATGACCAATTGTTATTTATTCTGGAGATGTAAGGTTGTTACAATGTCTGCAAATTAATAAATGTGTGTGATACATTACATAAACAAATTGAGAGCAAAAATCCATGATCATATCAATTGATGCAGAAAAAAACATTTGACAAAATCCAACACCCTTTTTTAATAAAAACTCTCAGCAAAGTGAAAAAAGAGGGCTCATACATCAACATAAT